TTTGATGAACTCTAACAGGCTTATTTTCTGCTAAAACTTGAGCCTTTCAAATAGGGAATGGCCAAAAATGAAATCGGAAAACAGAGAAGCTAATGGGAAGCAAAAAAATGACTCAAGACCTCTTTCCTCAGCTTAGCACACCAATAGCCTGCGCTGGAAATGCGCGTGGCTGTGCAATTGGTTGGCTTGAGTATTGCACTCATGAAATTTTTGCGTACTGCGGATACGCGCAACCAATCCAATGACTCGGAAGCAGCATTTTTGCAATACGCAGTTAATTGACCAGTTAACACTTGATCATAAGCAGTACCTCCAACTCCAAGAGATTACGTCTTTTGATAGGCATTTAATTCTAGTAGGTTCGGCTGAAGAAAAAGGGATAATTTTTATTATTCGTGTCTCTGATAAAATTAAAATATTAATAGAAAACTAGTTTCGCGGACTTTTAATCAGTAAAGGCATAAACCATGGCAATAAAGGCCAAAAAATAATCCCCAAATCCATTTAGCTATGGGAAATATGTGATCCCATTGTGTTTCTTTTAGCCGATTTTTAAATTATTATACTGACTTTGGAGGCTATGGTACTGAGAGAACTACTGTAATACACGAAGTGAATAATGCTATTTTATCGCACCTAAGGAAGTCCATTTCTTCCATCTTCATTATACTCCACATGTTCTGCTTGCTAAAATAAGCTAGCCACTTAGGAGTCCTTTTTCCCTGCTTAGTCGGTATAGGGGGCTGATAGTGCGCTCTCATCTACCATCAAGATGTTGAGCTGCTGTCCCACCATATTATTATCATTAATAATTAATTTTCTCTTCTATAAACACTTCAAATACTGTCTCGTAATTAGCCGTTTAAATAAGGTCTGTATAAACCTGAATATAATGATAGAGCTTTTGGTATTTTTTAAACTAATTATTGAGCCTATTTGCATCTTTGCTTAAGCATATTATTATAAAGTTAATTTCGCGATAAATAAGGTACCACTCCTCCCATTTATGAAGGAATGCCATTTTAAGATTAGGAATAAACATCGAGTTGACCTGATTGGTTGATTATGAAGTAATTGCTTATTTAGAGGGAGAGAGGAACAAGAGTGGTTATTGCGAATTGTGAAAATTCACAAAAATGACTAGCACTGCTACTGCCATGGGCTCCGGCCTCTCCATAAAATAAACCAACCAGGCATGGTATAATAAACACCTCAATTGGGCGCAATCATAAACAGACTAGATTGAGGACCTATAAATGGCACTTCCTCTCCACCGCAAGGGTGTTTGCGCTCTCATTATGCTTTCAGAAGGGAAATGGGAAACTTACGCGCTCCCCTAACCAATCAAACGCTAGTCCATGATGAACCTGACCAATCCACAGCGGAGATTATGTGTACTAACCAATGGGACACGTGCGCGTTGTCAGATGAGCGAAAGCGCGCGCTGTCAACGTGTCAGACACCACCCCTTGCTCTATCGCGCTCGCCTATAGAGGCGCGGATTGAAGATCATTTAGGCAGCGAGTGTTTACACGATTAGTGTGTATGTGTATAGTGTAAACTATTCACAGCCGCAACTCGATAACTAACTCTTTCCATCGCATCTCGTTCGCCATCTCGCCGTGTGCTTGTGTGCGTACACTCTCGCGTGTATGTATACATTTAACTGAGTGAACACGTGCGTGCGAAAAGGACAGATTCCCCAAAGCCCACCGCCCACTGGCTACTACTAGATTTGTTTACATATCTCGCCTCCCATCCCATCCTCTTTTGCCTCTCGTGTAAGAGCGCACATTTCCTCCCTGTCTGTTTGCGTGCCCCCAAAATACACACTTCTGTGTGGGTGTGTGTGTTTATCCTAACGTCAAGTCGGTGCGCACACAGCCTCAAAAATCGGTTGTGTAAACAACGGCCAGGAGATGGCAATGGAGGGCAATTACTTACAGTCCCACCCCCACCCCAATCCACATGCTTATTCGGGTCTCGCGGATCACGCCACCGATCTCACTGCCCACGGAGCAACCTCGCATCACTCACACGGCGCATTCCTTCTCCCTCCGGCTCCAGCCCACTACCACCACCACCCTCGAACACTTGGACCCAACGACAGTGCTGCTCCTCCTGACACCACCCTCCACTACCACCACTGCCTTTTCTCGGAACCCTCTGTCCCATGGGATACCTCCGTCCAGCAAACATTCAACCACCATCAACAACAGCAGCAACAACCCCAACAACATCAAAATGAGAATCAGTCATGCTCCCACGAAGACTTTTTTATTGAGAAACAGTCCGACCCTGTCTCAGTCTCTTATTGGGGAGAAAAGCTTCCTTCTCCTGCTTTCGGTGCAACTTGGGAGCCGGAGACCTACCCTGGGGGTTATGCTTTGGCACCGAATGATACGACATTCTACCAAGAGTTTCAAAGCTCTTCGCCTTTCCCTCCCTTGCCTGGAGCTCACTCACTAATTCCTCAACCAACTTCATCTTATTTTCGTGGACCCTCTCCTTCTCAATATGGTTTGGGAAGGTCGGTACCTGCAGCACAGCAAAGTTACAGTGGGATGGAGTCCTCTAGTGATGCCTGCCTTTCCTCAAACAACACAACAGAGAGCTCTGAAGCAGTAACTGGAAGTGGCCATCCACAAGAGAGCGAAGTAAAACCCACTCTACCTCCAATCGAATACTATTCCGACAGACAGGAGTTTATAGAGCCTTTGGCAGAGTGCAAGGAAGTGGCAGGAAGAACTGATGGGGCAGAGGAAGAGGAAGTTGACGGAGAGGAGGATGGTGAAGAGGCTGATGAAGGTGCGGTGAGTGGAGACAGAGCTATTCAATGTGAAGATGATGCAACACTAGGACAAGAAGGCGGATCTAAGGAAAACAACGCGGACTCTATTAATGGAGGAGATCCAAAAGCTCCACACAAAGAATCCAGTTAGTTAACGATAGTTTTTATTTAGACTGGGCATTTGAATCTGAGTTGTCATTGTCATTAGCGTTTGCTCTTAATCATTTCCTACAAGGTAATTATTATCGGTTCTGCTAATTGGACCGAGGCTATGCTTGGTTCGGCATACGTAAGAAAATCTTTCATAAGTATAATTTATTTTGTGTAACTTCTGGA